AGACGTCGATCTGATATCTTTCAGATTTAGATGATGCGTTAGACGATATTAACCTGGTACACGAATTATTTCAGCAAGGAATAAAGTCCCTAAAGTCCTCTCTGTCACTTTCGGGCGGCACTATTAAATATAGTCCGGACTCTAATAGGGCGCGTCCGTTATTACGATGATTTGGTGAGGATCAAACTGTAATCCAATTGTTGGCGGGCTGGCCCAGTGGGGGGGGGGGGTACTGTAAGTAATTGATAGCAGGTCTTAGGTAGATAAGGATTGTAATAAAGAATCTACCTTGGGTAGAAGGAATTTACCCAGTGGGGGGGGGGTACAGTAAGAAAATCGTGATTACGGAGATTCGGTGGGGGTCATTCTGTAACCCAATTCTTTGGCGTGCTACGTGTGGCAGGCGTTGCTTCAGTTCCTCCGTGCTTCGATTCATCGCGATATAATGAAGAGCGAAATGCAGCAAATAAACACTGCAGTGCAGCTCGCTGTGGTAATCCCCTCTAAACATTTCAGCGCAATTACTACTCGGGTCCGGTGCGGCTCCACCCGCTCGCACCCGCTCGGCTGCAGTTCAGCTTGGTATTACACCTCGATTTCCGTAAGCTAAAGCCTTTCCAGATTACGGAGCAGATCATGTCAACACAGCTCTAAAGCAATGTCAGAAGCATTTATTATTATCTTGCTTTAAAGCTGCTTGATTAATCCGTCACCCCATGCGATAGTGATCTGATTCGGTGGCTACTTTACAGACGATCAGCTCCTCAAAGGCATGGAATGAGAGCTCATTTCAGAATTTACCTCGCCTGACGTCCTCATCTGCCAATGCGCCTGGTATTGCTGACGGAGCTTTCAACTCTGGTCGTGCTTTTTGCACCCAGTGAGCCAGTATCGCTCGATATTCCTGGCTGCGAGACCAAGACGATTAAATGGAAGTACGCTTCGACGCCAACGATTCGCTCTTCGCCCACTGAGGTCAACGTCAGCGAAAAGAGAAGTCTGCGGGGCGACGACAGCAGTATGGACATGGAAGTGCTCAACCCGGATGATGAAGAGCGAGCGGCACCTCTTTTATCGAGGTTTGCATTCTATATGAAGGCAATTCTTTATGGACTGACGCTCCGGGTTACACCGAACACTCAATGGAAGTGGACGCCGCTCTTTGAACAGAGACTGTTCTCTTTAGTTCACAAAGTCAGAGGACCGCCGGAATTTGCCGAAATTAAGAACCCCAGAGTTGCTGCGAGGTACAAAGACTGGTTCCAAAAAACGTCGTCGCGAAAAACCTGGTTAGCGCTTAACAGGTACGGAAACGCGGGTAAGACTTAAATCACGTTCAGGACATCGATAGCGCCAGCATCCCGTCGTAGATTTAGCCCTAAATTAAGAAAGAATCAAAAATAGAGATGTAGCTAAACACAATTATTCTTTCTTTAGTACACGTCTTTATTATAAAGCCGTGTTTCACACGGAAGGTTTACAGTTGTGTGCAGGGCAGTTGCTTCATTATTGGCTTTACAGTAATGTGACGCACATTATTGTATACAATTAGCTGCAGTCCTGTATTACGCTGGATGTTTTGTTCTAGCAGCGAGCATGTGCGAATCGCACTGCGATCACAAGAAAGACATTGGCGATATGGGAGCATGTGGTTCATCACCTGCGCTAAGTGCAAGCTGAAGTATGGCGTGCTTGAACTTGGCCTCGTATGGAGTTATCAAAACGGACTTCCTGGACTGCCCGGAATGGGAGGCAATACACAGGCTTCGAAAGGTGCCTATTCGAAAGGTGCCTAATAATGACGTTGGAATAGGACAATTTGGAATGGTTCAGTCGCGCACTAGCATCAGTATCAAACAAGTAACATAACGAGCAATACACGTTGTCGTTAGTGGGAGTTCCAGCTCCCAATCTACTGTCTTGATGCTGTAAACCGCCACAGAAACCCCACTATATTGGGTATGACAATCCAATGTGTGGAAATTCCCGAATAATACCCTCTACCCGAATAATACCTCAGCGCATACCTTCACACTTACCAAGAGTAACCTCACTGAAACAAACTTCGTATTTTATCTTTAAACTACCTAAAAACGGCCCCGCCTGGCAGACAATGTCATCGTATTGTTTCTTCATTCAGAAGAGCCATTAATCGATCCTAAAAAAAACTACTGCATCAGTTGCATTGCGGGGTGTAATGCACCACCAAACCTTGGCCCCTCATAAAATTCTTGTAGAAGGTCATGTCGGTCGGATGTTGAAGTGATGTTCGAAAGGTGGTTATCTTCAAACGATGAGACGTTAGAATAAAAAAAAATATTGGAGTTAATCGATAATTTCCGTTAGATCTTATTTAACAGATGTATCAAATGCTCAAGTCAATTTATTTAAGTTTTAAGTTTGAGTACTAGGGTCAGAATGACTCCAGAGTTTCATCATGATATCGTAAATGAGAATAACGAGCGTTTTGTCGCTTGTTGTGGATCCGTTGTGTAGTGTTGGAAAAATTGTGCTTGTCAATACTGGCTCGCAGTTTATATTTCTTCAGATGCTGGAGTCGGCGTTGGTCCTGCTACTTTTCTCGAACGTTATCTCAGAATAAAGTTTGTTATATGTTACCCACAGTTTTTTTTTCATCTGCGTTTTTTTAAAGATATTTTAGGAGAAACCATTACCGTGATATTCGGAACGTATAACTAGGAACAGCTAGCCGAACAGCTCCACTATTGGCTAATCATGGAATGGGAGCTGGTCCTGAAACGCTATTATTTTATCACCTGCTCAAACGATGTGACTACATGGTTATACTGATTTCGCCACACTTACAAGAAGCGACACTGTGGACGTTGCGAGCTGTGAACACCTTCACAATTATTCAAAGTCACCAGTGCCGTGACTACGACTTTTACATAGCCCCGAGATTACCATGCCGTCGTGTTATTTACTATCGTCGCTGTACGGCTGTGGATCCCTACAAACCAGATATTGATACACGAACGGTGGTTTTCTACTGCTGTTTCCAGTCTGATATCCCCGACTACACGAAGACTACTCGACACGGACGGAATTACCATCCGTCGACCGTGTTGCACTCACGGCTGAAGTGCAGCGTTTCACGAAACTGGAGTAATCGACGAAATCCCCGATTTACTGGTGTCTCTTTTTGCTAAGCAGCTTGAGTTCCCCAACGGATATTTTCGCAAACTACGGACGGGAATTTCAGATTCTTCGTGTGCGCAGGTCTACCAAACCTGTTTAAAGATCCGGCGTTTCCCAAGAAACATTGATATAATCTTGTCAAGCAACCTGTCGTAGAGACGGGAAAGAATCCTAACGAACACCATTGTAAAAAGACTGTTCAGAGACCTCTTGTTATTCCCTACAGTATCGATGCTCTTACTAAAAGTAGTCTCATCGAGTAACATTTAGTAGTAATAGAGAAACCTCAGATAAATTATTGTAATTTGTGAACGTGTATTAATACTGAAGTGCCTACGAAAGCGAGGTACAGACGAACCTCTCTATATTGATAGCGTCATTTTACTACTATAAAGAGGAAATATTAATCGGAGCTGTCAATATACGGCAAACACAGCACTGGCAGATGACAAGTTTGTATTCCAGTGGGCCACTTTATTTGGAGGAATTTAATATCGGGGATATCAGTACAGAGAGGATCGTCTGATCATCAGAAAGAAGGAGAGATAAAAAAACAGTACCTTGTACATGTACTATTATACCTCAACAAACAAAAACTGCCCAACTAAGTTTAGAGTTAATACCGTGTCAAGCTGTGATTCGTGTACTCTCCTGGGTAACCACTGTATCTTAAAGCCTACACCTCACAAGAAGGTGGTGTCAACCCACCATTCGGACTCGAAGTTCTCTCCGAGGATGTCCTTGATCGCCACAGCCGCATCCAGTTGTCCACTGAAGGCCACCCGTTGATCGATTGCTGCTCCGGGTCCCTTGTTGTTAAACTCCTTCAAGTAAACGTCGGCTGTACTGGTAGATTCGTCCCAGGCCGCCCAACCTTCCGGGTTAACAATGTCTCCCAGCTCGCTGTTCTGCCACACCACGCGGGCAAAGGGGCGCCACGGACGACCCAAGTAGGTTGAGCCATTGCCGAACACGCGAGCGTTGTTGAAAACGTACTCGGAAGTGACGGTAGCGTTGGCGTTGCCGTTGGCAGTGATCCAACCTTCTCCGATCGACTCAATGTCGCAAGACTCGAACCACGCCATGGCTCTTTGGCCAAACACAAAGTCGACAGCACCACTGATGTACGACTTAGCGTACAGCTCACGACCCTTGTTGGCACACACAGTGTCCTGGTACCCGGTAAAGTTGCAGGCGTAGAAGCCATAGTCGGCCCCATCGGCATAGATAGCAACCCCTTGGCCGTTCTTCTCGACTTTACCCACGGTATTGGCAACATTGAGATTGTACACCTTCACTTTGCTCGACTTGAGACCCAACGTACTCGTGAGATAGTTGCGGGAA